ATTCCTGTGTGATTTCCTACTCATTGGGACAGACCGCTCTTGAGCTTGGAGTAGGTAATCCTTGAATATTAACCAACTTTCTTAAGGCCCCTCTTCCCTCCAGGGCCTTATCCCATGGGACTCTTCTGAACAGATCTTTGAAGAGGCCAAAGTCTACTCTCCTGAAGTCCAGGGCTGTGAGCTTGCTTTTTACCCACCTCCCTTCCATCAGGATCCTGACCAGATACAGTTACTTAGATTTAGAAAATCATCCATTCCAAAAGACAATTAATATATAATACCAAAAATATGTGGTTTCCAATACATTGTAAAATTCAGTTCCCCATTCAGCAATTAATACTTTTCTGAATATTGTCACAGCATTCCAGCTATCAGTGCAGTCATTCATGCCACATTCATTCAATGTTCAGCCATTCATGCCATATATCCATCATTTCATATGATGAGATGCATTAGGTAAAGGGATGGGCATATTCTATGTTAGCTGAAGACTAATGGCCCTCAGATGGCATTCTTGGAAAAATTCAATCATTATTCCCATTCTCCCTGCATAACTGCAAAGGTGATTATGGTAATAGCATACTGTTTATTAAAACTCATTTAACACTGACTTCTGGGCATTCTTTAAAAATCATATTGCCTGTAAAGGAAAAGCATCGTTATCTGGAAGTAAAATTTGAACATATCTAAAATTCATATACTATACCCAGTGAAGAAGAGGATGAGGATGGCAAATGATGCTTCACTGCCAAGCAGTGAACAAGGGAGCCACATGTCTCTGAGTAGTAAAGGAGAGGAGAGCTTGCCTTGGAGTTTTAGAGGAATACAGAATAACTGAAAGTGAGTGTGCTGAAGAGAGGGCTGGAAATAGTTAAGAATTAATACCTTTACAAACAGAAGAGAGAAGACTCATCATCTGGGTAAGGTCAAATGGACTAAAGAGAGTGCCTTGGTAGAAATGGATACACATGAAATTCAATCAGAGTGACAAGAAGTGGTCCGACAGGCCTTTACACTTCTAATTTCTTTGGCTGTAAGTAATGCTTAAGATTGTCAGCATCGCTAAGGTAGTAGTTTCTGAACTAGAACAATGAGATTAATATCTCATCTCTGATATGTAGATATTTGTTACTGCTGGTTCTTTTTATCTGCAAAGGCTTTCCGTCTCTTTTTCTTTTTGTGTTTGTGTGAATACACTAGGAAGAAAGGACAGACTCTGCTCTGAATTTGTATTAACCATTGTTTTACACCCCTTCTTTGAAAAATCTGAACATCAAAATCTTCTTCATGCTCTTCCAGTTCTTTTTCTGCTGATGATCTTTTTAGATCAGCTGGACTGCTGCCTTCTCACAGATCCAGGGGTATTTCTCATAACAATTCTCACTGTAAACTCTTGGCTTACGATAAAACAGGTATGCACAGTTTTGCTTAGAGGACAAATCAATCCTAGAAAAAAAACCACACCATCTTGTTAAAAATTCTCATGTACAAATTTAAAAAAACCCCATAAGGCCCTTTTGGACAATCATACTTTATTGCAAAAGTTGCTTAGTCATTTTAAGGTTTATAAAGATTTATACAAAATATTGAAGAACATAACAGCTCATATAATTCAAGTCCGAAGGATCATGTTGCTCAACAACGCAAATGAGCTAATCGGTGATGTCAAGATTGGAGGCAGCCTGGGCTGCAGTGGTTGTGCACTGCTGGAGTGTGCAGTCCTGAGGGATATGGGTCAGGTGAAGAGTAAAGTCAGGACCCTGAATTTTAGGAAAGCAAAATTCCAGCTCTTCAAGGAATTAGTCAATAGGACCCCCTGGGAAACTACCCTCAGGGACAAGGGAGCAGAACAGAGCTGTCAGATCTTTAAGGATGCTTTCCATAGAGCGCAAGGGGTCTCTGTCCCCAGGTGTAAGAAATCAGGAAAGGAAGGCAGGGGACCAGCATGGATGAGTCAAGACCTGCTGGTCAAACTAAAGGGCAAGAAAGAAATGCACAGGCAGTGAAAACAGGGACAGGTATCCTGGGAAGAATATATGGACACTGTGTGGTTGTGTAGGGATGGGGTCAGGAGGCCAAGGCGCAGCTGGAGCTGAACTTGGCAAGGGATGCAAATACTAATAAGAAGGGCTTCTACAGGTATGTCAGCCAGAAAAGGAAGGTCAAAGAAAGCATACCCCCTGCGATGAGCAAGACTGGCAAGCTGGTAACAATGGACAAGGAGAAGGCTGAGGTACTCAACAACTTTTTTGCCTCAGTCTTCACTGGCAACCTCCCTTTCTACACCTCTCAAGTGGATTGACCACAGTATAGGGACTGGGGGAGCAAAGTCCCTCCCACTGTAAGAGAAGATCAGGTTCATGACCACCTGAGGAACCTGAACGTACATAAGTCTATAGGCCCTGACGAGATGCATCCCAGAGTCCTGAGGGAATTGGGAAACGGGCATTGGGAGAGTTGCCAATCCACTCGCCATGATATTTTAAAAGTCATGGCAGTCAGGTGAAGTCCCTGGGGACTGGAAAAAGGGAAACATTGCACCCATTTTTAAGAAAGGTAGAAAGGAGGACCCTGGAAACTACCTTCCTGTCAGCCTCACCTCTGTGCCTGGGAAGATCATGGAGCAGATCCTCCTAGAAGCTCTGGTAAGGCACATGGAGGACAGGGAGGTGATTTGAGACAGCCAGCATGGCTTCACCAAGGGCAAGTCCTGCCTGACCAACCTAGTGGCCTTCTATGATGGAGTGACTGCATCAGTGGACGAGGGAAGAGCTACGGATGTTGTCTATCTGGACTTCTGTAAGACCTTTGATACAGTCCCCCACAACATCCTTCCCTCTAAATTGGAGAGATACGGGTTTGATGGGTGGACTCTTCGGTGGATAAGTAATTGGCTGGATGGTGGCATCCAGAGGGTGGTGGTCAACAGCTCAATGTCCAGATGGAGATCAGTGACAAGTGGTGTCCTTCAGGCGTCTGTATTGGGACCAGTACAGTTTAATGTCTTCATCAATGACATAGAGGGATCGAGTGCATCCTCCTCAAGTTTGCAGACAACACCAAGCTGAGTAGTGCGGTTGACACGCCCAAGGGACAGGATGCCATCCAGAGGGACCTGGACAAGCTCAAGAAGTGGGCCCGTGTGAACCTGATGAGATTCAACAAGGCCCAGGGCAGGGTCCCGCACCTGGCTCAGGGCAACCCCCAGTATCAATACAGGCTGGAGGATGAAGGGATTGAGTGCAGGCCTGAGGAGAAGGACTTGGGGGTGTACTGGTGGATGAAAAGCTGGACATGAGCCAACAATGTGAGCTTGCAGCCTGGAAGGCCAACCATATCCTGGGCTGCATCAAAAGCAGCGTGGTCAGCAGGTCGAGGGAGGTGATTCTGCCCCTCTGCTCTGCTCTGGTGAGACCCCATCTGGGGTACTGCATCCAGCTCTGGGGTCCTCAGTACAGGAAACACATGGACCTGTTGAAGCGGGTCCAGAGGAGGGCCACAAAACTGATCAGAGGGATGGAACACCTCTGCTATGAGGAAATGCTGAGAGAGCTGGGGTTGTTCAGCCTGGAGAAGAGAAGGCCCCAGGGAGACCTTATTGTGGTGATAGGACAAGTGCTAATTGTTTTAAACTAAAAGAGGGTAGATTTAGACTAGATATAAGGAAGAAATTTTTTACGCTGAGGGTGGTGAAACACTGGAACAGTTTGCCCAGGGAGGTGGCAGATGCCCCATCCCTGGAAACATTCAAGGTCAGGTTGGGTGGGGCTCTGAGCAACCTGATTGAGTTGAAGATGACCCTGCTCATGGCAGTAGGGTTGGACTAGACGACCTTTACAGGTGCCTTCCAACCCAAACTATTCTATGATTCTATAATTCTATAATTATTCTGCCACCTGCTTTCAGCTCGAAGATGTAAAAAAGAAAGCCTGCATATGGAGCATCATCAAAGCAGAAAATACCACTAGTTCCTCACCAGTGGTTATGTCACTCCAACCATTGCTTTATGTAGTGGTAGTTTGGGTCTGGAAACTGAAAGGCAGTGGTCCTACTGATCAAGAAGCCAGATCATTCTGCCTCATGTCTACTAGCAACAGGAAGTCTAAGAGTTTGCAAGACAAAATGAGCATGTGTTACCAAGGAGGCACTGGAGAATCTTCACTCGAAGAAGGTTCTCCAGACCCTGAAGAGGACTCTCATATTACTGCATACAGTGATCACTTCACACAAAACAGAATGGGAATTTGATTTTTTCCCCACAGTTAGTAAAGGAGAAACACACTGAGTAAGCTGATGAGATTTTACAGAAAAAGTAAACAGGTTCTCTCCACCTAATGTTGACTATTTTTGTGTAATAAAGGTTTCAAAATGTTGATGGAAGAGAGAATTGAATTTGGGATAATTGTGGCTGAGTAGAAGAGGCAGGTGCAGTAATGCTTTGCAGAAGGTAAGCTGTCTTGAAGGAAGTGTGCATTGTTTCCTATAGAGTCGTGGCATGTTTCACAAAGTGAATGGGTTTAAATAGTGAGAGCAGTCACTGGTTGCACTGGTTTGTTGACTCATTCTGCTCATGCTTCCAGGTTTCTGAGACCCTTTCTCTATTTCAGGGACTCCACACCTAAAAGGGTATTTTGACTCCAAATATATCTGCGGCTCTATTCTACCTTGAAGCTTTGCCATTAATAGGATTTTGGTTCCCTCCTCCTTCAGCACACAGGGAGGGTATTGTGCAAGAAAAGATTAAAAACCACCAACTGTTTAAGTTCAGAAAACTTACCAGTCCATTCTCTTTGTAGAAAGTTTCGTATCATCTATCCAAGACCAGCCATCAACTCCATATGATAATCCAATCCAATAGGATCGTTTTTGTGATATTTGAGATATGCTAATCTATAAAAATGCAAAACTTTTGTCACCAAGGAGCTTGTGGGTATTTTTTTTGCTGTACCTGAACAACTGCTGTTGAGAGAGGAGATGATCAAGAAAGAACCAAAGGAGGTAATTTGACAATGACTCTCTGAACTCCTCATCAGGCCCTCATAATTTTCCAAGAGACAGCATCTCTATTTGGCATGCAAACAGGAATATTTTGTGTCTGGCATCTCTACTAAATGTAAGACTGGGGTAACAATTCTTTTTAGAGCCCTATCTCTCAGAGTATTCAAAGAGATTTCCTGAATGAAAGACTCACTGCTTGTAACCTTCACAGGATCTATGACACTCATGTCCACTGTTTGGATGAATAATATCCTGTGTTGCTAGCTACCTCATCATTACACATTTGTGGTTAAACGCTCTGCAATCTGCATTGCCTCAGACCTTGGGGACAGTACCTCTATTACTATGTAACATCAAGAGGTACTTGCTGACTGGTGAGGAGTTTTGAATAGTTGATACCAATGCAAAGAAATACCAGTATGATTGGAACCATACCAACTTGCTTTTCCTTTTCAGCGTAAGAAGGGTGGCATTCTGGGAGAAGCAGAAGTCTTCACTTTCCTGCCATGTGGCCTCCTTTTCTGAAAAGTAGAAACAGGTATCACCTCCAACCCATTTCCAGTTTACAGGGCAGAGTGAACATATGGATCCTAGAACAGAAAGAAACCATCAGTCCCTTGCAAACAGCCAAAGGAAGAGTAGAGGAGTCTATACCCATAGGCCTGGAAAGTCAAAGTTATGCAGAGCTGAAATGTATATGGCACTTTATGGGTCACATCTACATTCATTCTTTTTTTTTTTTTTTTAAACTCATTATTTAATGTGATATAGCATGTAACACCTTTGTTTAATTTGGTATAAGGCCTAACACACAGATTTCAGGCTGTGTGAACAGTAGTTCTACTTACTATCATTCTTACTGTTTGCATCACCCATCAAGCACAATCTCTCCTTTAGTCCTTGCAAGTTTTCATTATGTTCCGCGGGTGCCTTAGAACCTCTGAGACCTGGAGTTTATAAAGATATTCTTCATGAGACAAAAAACCTGTGATGATGCTACTGCATGATACATGCTTCATCATATATTGCAAATTCACTTTTTGCAATATCGTGCTCACATGCAACTCTGATGCTACAGTGTCACATACTGTGAGGAGATTAGAAGATGAGAAAATGATGGATAAGGAGATTTCCAAATTTTAAATGCAGTTTAATCACAAAACCGTTTTATTCTTAAAGGCTGGTAAAACTTCTCTGAAGAAAGTGGGGAGGGGTTTTTTATATATCTTCCTCAACAGTATTTAGATACTGGCTTTTGGTAGCAACAGCTCAGAATGACTATGTCCAGGCTCTGTGATAGAAAGTATAGGTACAGTCATGTCACACAATGATAAAAGCTAATATAAATATGAGAGTCTTCAGTTCTCTTGCACATCTCAGGTAAACAGGGATGACTGAGTGAAACAGACAGAAAAAGTGAGATTTCCTCATGAATATCAGTACTAGAAGTATGTCCATTTTTAGCATACTCGTATGAACTAAGTTAAGACAGTAGTCTACAAACATGAAAGGTTTATCAAACGAATGAGACAAGAACTGCTATTTCAGTAGAACAGAGAGACTTGAACAACAGGAGAAGAGGAAAAGGGAAACAACAAACTGATTTATGAAAGTCAACATTAGAATTTTATAATTGAATTTGAATTAGCAAATAAATGAGTAATAGATGGATGAGTACAGAATCCATTCCTCCCGCTCTTTCCAAAATATATCATCTTGACTTCTGTATCCTTGCTCTGGGCACAGGTCCAGACTTAAAAAAATTGCTTCTGTCACAGCCTTATGTACACCAAGCTGCAGAGTATTCATCGCAGGCAATTAGGAGGAGAGGAAAGGGCAGTATATGTGGGGAGGATGAGCTATGACTGCCCTTGTTGCAGTCAGTCCGCCACCTTTCTTCAATGCAGTTATTCCTAAGGTGCTAATATGAATAAAGGAACACAGTATATTTCAGAACTTACCTAGGACTATCATTCCCATGGTGAGGGCCAGGCACAGTGCAAACAAAGTGAAGATAGCTGGCCACCATACAGCAAAGGGAAGAGAGCGTCCTGGGAGAAACCAACAATTTATCTGAGGGCAAGCACCCAGTTCAGCAGCACTCCCAACCCTCCACCCCTCCATGAAGAGCCATCTGGTGACTCTGGTGACATCTGGTGAAGAGTTCCCCATCCAGATTGTATTATATTTTAAGGATCAACTCAAATGCAAGTTGAGAAAAAGCTGTGGTGCCTCTTAAAGAGGTCTGTTTGAAAGGAGACACTGGACAAGGTTTAAACTGAACAGGTGGGGGATTCCATGCCTTTGAGAAATGATGAAGCTATGAAACATTGTAGTGATCCTTTGATTTAGAAGTAGGTGATGCTCCTGTTTTCCTTTGGCAGTACTGTAGTACTCCGCTCTGTCAGAACAGAGTAAGGAAGTGTTTGCATACCATCTTACACTTTGCACAAATCCTTCCTGCTCTCAGGGCACACAGTGCTCAGGCTACTTGCCAGCTCCAGGCTGAAGCCCAGTTCAGGAAAATTCTGAAGTCCAAAAGATCCACTGAGGTTTCCCTGGATTCAAAAGTTCCTGAGAGTTACCATCACCAAACAGTCATGGCAATGCAATACGATGGACCTTTCAGATGAAGAAATATTTAACTCAAGACTGGATACCCTCTTGAAGTACATGGTTTAGCCCAGCTAGAGCTATGGGACTTGAAGAAGGGAAATGACATGACCTATGCATTCAGGCCCAGTGCTGCCTCATCCCGTCTGGCCTTGAAGGCTACGAATCTTAAGCATCTTCTGAAAAACTGAGGTCCAGAAGGCAAAATGTGAAAATTTTTTTCCTATTAAAGTCAGATTGTCCTGTCTCTATAGTAATTTCTGATAATAATACATAAACAATAAATAAAACTAACAACATTTAAGCTGATTCCTACATTCCATAGTTTGATCCTGAAGCCACTGTCTTTTCCTACAGAAATGTAGAGCAAGTAATGGCAGTAGTTCCACTCTATGCATTTTGATATTCATGCATGCTCATTTTTATCAGACAAAACAATACAAATAGTGCATTAAACCTATAACATTAAACCTACAAGTACATATTTTTCTTATTTACTGATCTGGACAAAAGATACTGTTCCTATTGTCATTGTCTACCATAGCGCAGAAAGTTCAAAGAGCAAGTGTCAGTCATACCTTTGTTGATGTTCAGGGACATGTAGTGTCTGGCTGGATGCTGTGGCAGGTGATTTAAATTAGAGTATCCATCCTCTTCTGCTGTATTCGTCTGCATTATCTCAGAACTCATTCGTGGTTCAATAACGATCCTCTTAAAAGACAACCTGAATGATTTGTGAAGGAGAAGCAAAAAGAAAAGCAGAAAGAGGGAGGGGATAGAGAAATGAGTCACACTTCAAATGCCCTACGGCAAGATATTTGTATTCAAGTGTTATGTGTGACTCCTCCTTTTCCTCCCTCAGGGGACGATCCCCTCTCTTCCCACCCATCACATCTCAGCCTGGGTCTGCATCCTCAGGTCAGGAGACACATAGGGTTGACATGAGTCCCAGTAAATGTATGGCCTGGTAGTTCCCCTCTTTTCCATTTAGCCTCCCCATGACTTTCATCTCGTTTTCCACATTTTAAAACAGAACAAACATCTTTGATTCATCTCAGAGGCAGACTAACTTCAGCTCTGTGCCCTTGTCATTATTCAGTGTTAAGGACTAAAAATCTAGGTGTCTGTATTCAGTTGAGAGCAAAGTTTGCAGCTGCAAATAGCTGCTGAAGCTGTTTGAGCACACAGAAGAGGTAGGAAGTGCTGTCCAGAGTCTAGTGTCATCTTCTCAGAGGGAGAAAAGGGAAATCAGAGTGTGGGAAAAAGACACAGGCAGGATTTAACAAATAAGAGAAGTGAGACCTTGTGGCAAAGGCTAACCACATACTGGACCGACCTAGCAAGAGTGTAGCTAATAGGGCAGAGGTGATGATTCTCTTCGTTCCATCACTTGTGAGTATGCAACTGGAGTACTATGTCCAGCTTTGGGCTCCCCAGTAAAAAAAAAAAAAAATCCCATAAACCACATAAATACTAAAACTGGTCAAAGGGAGAGACACAAAGATGCTTGGGAGCTGAAGCACTTGATTTACAGGAACAGACTGACAACTGTATTTGTTCAGCCTGGAGAAGAGAAAGCTAAGGAAAATCCAGTTGCAGTCTCTCACTGCATAAAGGGGCTATGGAGAAGACGGAGGCAGACTCTCAGAGGTATACAGTGAAAGGACAAGAGGCAATGGTCATAAGTTACAGGTAAGGTGGTCATATATTGAAAGAGATGCCCAGAGAGGGTGCGTCATCTCCATCCTTGGAGATTTTCTGAGCTTGACTTGACAGGGACTGGGCTTATCTGATCTAGCTTTGAAATTAGACCTGCTGAGCAGGAATTTGGACCAGCAGGACTTCAGACGTCCCTTCCAAATTAAATCTTTCCATGACTCTGTGATCTATGAGTATGAAGGCAAGACTCACTATGAGAATGCCCAAGGGAACAACAGTAGACCACCTGAAATAGCATATCTTCCCCTTTCTTGTAACCTGGAGAGAAAAATTTAGAAAGTGGGAAACAGACTGGATACTACTTTCTTTAGTAACTCAAATTCTCTGCACCACCCAAGTACAGTAGGAGCCTATTTTTCTTTTTGCAAAGCTTGGCTCACAGCTTGCTGTCCCTTCTGCACAGTGCTGTGCACTCTTCCCTTTTTCCTCTGGAAGTTCCCCTACCAGGAGAACATAGGATGTATTAAAGTAATGATTCCAAGAGAGAAGGTTCTGAAAGGTTGGCACCTCACCTGCTGCCTCAGATGTTTCAGATGAGTAGACATTTATTTAATTTAACACAAAACAAATACAAAAACTGACCGAGTGAAAGCAGGGACAGAGTGAAAGACCATGCTCCATGGACAAAATGATACCAGTTGAAAGATCCTGTTAAGAACAGAAGATACTGTGGGAAAGACCAGGCAGGCTTAGGGCGATGAAAATCTGTAAGGTGATAGTGAGATTGTGTAAGTGGAAACCTGTCATTAGAGATGCATGAGCCAAAGCTGAGACCTGTGTCAAGGAGTCCAGGCACCCCCAAGAAAAGATGCGTGGCAGAACCATGGTGCCTTAAGACTTATGTCTTAAGTGCCATTGTTTGAAAGGAACCTCTGGAAGTCATGTGGTTCAACCTCCTCTTCAAAGCTGGGGAAGCTTTGAACTCTGATGAAGTTGCTCAAGGACTTCTCCAGTCAAGTTCATGCAGTCTCCAAGGACGGAGATATCCCAGCCTCTCTGGATACCTGTTCCTGTTTTTGGCCACCCCCACTGTGAAGAATGTTCTCCTTGTGTCTAAATGGGATTTCCCTTACTACAGTTTCTGGTAGTTGCCTCTGGTAATGCTCTAATCAGCCCTGGCAGAGCGTAAGTATGAATATGGAGACAAGATAGAGGGCTCCAAAGGAGCACTTGCTGATAAAGAGATGGTCCCATGTCTCTCATTGTATCTGTGCTGCTGGGCACCTTCTTGTAGTCTTTTAGTCACCTTTTACTGATTTAAAAGCATATCAGTGAAAGATGTTATAATGGTTAAATATTTTAAGATTCTGATTTGAAATAGATAGAACAAACAGAGAAGGAAGATCTAGGGACAGATGAGCATCAAATTCTTTAGTAAATTGACTGACCTTCACGGGAAAGGGGTATTTTTCTTTGTTGCTTCCTACAGACAGAGTCTCTGAACATAGATTGGCACCATATCATTTAGCATCTTGCTGACAGAGCATTTCAGCATGTGAGCACTGGCATCTACTGGCAAGTCTGAACCCCCTCCAGCACAGTGAATGTGCTCATAACAAGGATGATGGAGGCCATTGGGAATGAGAGAGCATGCACTTGGTGCAGGGCCTGGAGCAGAGAGTGTAGTGGAGGCTGTGAAGAGGCACTGTGCAGCTGGGGTGTTTGGTTCAACTCTTTTATTTGTGAACCTGTCTTCCTGACATCCATGAACTTTGTTTTTTCCTATCTAGCAGCTTACATTTAGGCTCCTCCCATTTCACTGTCTTGGTTATCTCATTGTAGATGGGCAAATGTGAAGCTGTCATGCTCCTTCCACTTCAGAACGGCACTGCAGGGCTCATTCCTCCAATGCACCCCTTTATTCACTTAACCCCTATCTTCTTCACTGTCCATGTCCTGTTTGAAGGGATGTTGAAGCCAACAACTTCTATTTAGTTCCCAAACCTTTCAAGATTTATGATGTCTCACACTTAGTGTACAATACTAGGTTTTATTTTCCATACAAAATGTGCTTCAAATGAACAGCTTCTCTGAACTTCCCAGTGCCATGGAAGGATTGTGGACCTCCCTAAGCAGCTTGTGTCTTGGGCTCCATACATGTATAGTCAGGAGAACTTTGACAGCCTCTGAGATAGAAGGCAGACGGGATGAAATAATAAATTTGCTTGAATTTAAAATACTAGATACTATAAATTCTTCCCTCTGAAATATGCCACTGTTAACAGGGGAAAAGCCTTTCTCATGCTGCTGGGGCCAAGACTTGGGCTGAGACCAAATGGAGTTTTTGATATGAAGATATGGAAATAGTTTATAAAGATCATCCAGCCATAGAAACGAAAGAAATGTACCCTGCAAGTTATCACCACTGACCTGACCTTCCTGCAGTAATAGTGAACGCTCCCTAAAAAGTCACAGCAAGCAGTCAGCAGAGGCTAACATTTGTCTTCACAATGCAGCCATCAAAGGCATATAGCAGATTGCTAGGAAAAAAATCAAGTGTTAGTTTATGGGAAGTAAAACGGGTAAAATGTGGCAGCTTGGATGACTGCTGTGGATTATTTTTTCAAGTGGAATGGGTTGAAACAGGTGAAATATCATACCTTACTTGCATTGTACTTTGCACTTCTGACTGCAATGGTAAGGAATTCTAGATAGTTCAACTGGTTGTGCCCATGAATTACGACTTGGCTGTACTGAGTATAGTGAATTTATTCAGTTCACAAACATCTTTCAGCACATTAGGAAGATGGGTTCATTTTTTTACCAAGGAACTGCTTCAGTCTTTGAGAATATTTTCCAAGGAAATATTGACTATTGAAGACATATCATTATTTTTTCATTTATTTTAAGAAAAGTCTCCAAATACTAAGGCATGTACACATAGATATAAGATATGTATATACAAGGAATATATGCATATGTAATACAAAACAGATGATGACATGCAAAACTTCAAAGAACTCATGCAATGAAACTCCACCCAGAAAAGTGAAGGCATCATTTTCCTTCAATAACTATGACAAGTGCTTTAATAACACATGATGCATAGTGTGTACCTTGGGCTCCAGAGATCCCAAACAGTGTGGATGTAATACAAGAGCTCAAGTAAGATCTGTGGCAATGGATTCTGCATCAGTTTGAGTACTGCTTGTGTGTAGCTCTGAATGGAGCACATAATTATTATCCTCACTGCTATTTGCATAGCAATTAATGTTATGATAACACTGAAATTATTCAGGTAATGTTTTAATCCAACCATGACATTTGACTCTATTTTTCACAGAAATTGCTTCCAGGTGTTCCCTGTAGTCTTCTCACAAATGTCCTTTTGTTTCTATAAATGTTAATGCATATATGAAAAGAATTTTGAGGATAAATAGAGCCTTGTGCTCTTTCTGTATCCCTGTACTTCAAACAGGGGAACAGTTGGAAGAACAGATTTAGGAAAGAAGGCATGCTTAGGCAAACTTCTCTAGAAAAGGATTATAGGTGGATGGTAGTTAGTGTGTACAGTAAGTACTTCAGTGAGTAAAATCATCAAGGATGTAGTTGGACTGGTTTATGACTGGCAGGTGTTAGTGTAAAATGCTGACTGAAGCTCAAGGAATATAGATCTGTGAGACTGTGTGGTTGTCAGCCTAGAGAGTCATGGAAGAATCTTTGCTTAACTATAGCTAATTCTTCCAAGTTGCTTCCTAGGCTTGTAGTTTTTAACTTTGTAGGTCTTTTTTTCTCTTTCTCACTTGTGAGCCTGAGAGACAAAATGTAGACTAAGAGGAAGATTTAGTCTCTAATGACCTGTTCATTTGATTCACCATCCTGAGAAAACTGCTTGATAAACAAACAAACAAACAAACAAACAAATATATTTAAAACTTTCAGTTCCCTAAGTTGACATCTCGCAGTGGCAGATCCCACATCCCTTCTTGCAATGCTTCTTCAGGTGAAATAAACAGACACTTTCTCACAGA